AATTACAATATGTTTTTGCATGATTATTTCAGCTGAGAAAACCTACATTACCATTATTCCTTACATTCTTAGGTAAATTACGTTTAACACGTTGAACGCCACGTCAGCCATAGGTGGCTGACACTAGATTTTCTGTTTAGGTCGCATCAACCATCGGTGGCTGACAGCATGTAACATGGGAACTATAAATTTTTACACTATTTTGCGTTAAAAATGTAAACTATTTTGTATTGTAAACGATCGGAAACACCGGCCCTTTAATACCAGTGCGTATAAGCGGCGCTCGTGGCCTGAACGGGATTGTCTTAGAAATCCGCGTGGCTCTCAACGTGGTAATAGATTTTATCCGTCCAATTTCCTAATGTGGATTCGTCGTCGAAAAACTAATAACAAAGTATGATGTAAAAATTGTAATATAACGTTCAATTATTCGAATTAACCGATATAAAGAAGAATAGTATGCATTTTAAATGTATGCAATGTTTTACAAACAAAGGAAAATATGTGACATTCAATAATTATTATGTAAATTATGTATGTTGTATATAAACTCTGTCGTTCTATGTATGTTATTCTATGCCCATATGCGTCTATTCAAACATTTACAACTAAATGTCGCGATCACATTTTTATTCTGTGATATAATAAATACAATACTAAGTATAACAATAACCGGGAAGTTATTCGTGAAGAGAGTTGGTTTAATGCTGGCAACACACGTTCTTCTTCTTCTAATGCCTCTCCATTACTGGAGGTTGGCGGTCAGCTCAGCGAACCCTTTCCTGTCCTGTGCCAAGCGAAAAAGTTGTTCAACACACGTTAGGTTAGGTTAATTTTACTTGACAGTTTTAACCTTTGTTTACCGATAACGGATGTTTAAATAAAACTTGCTTAAAAAATTATTAATGCATTGTACGTAATTTCATGTCTTAACATTTTATTACAGCTGAAAATTAAAAATAAATCAAACATAAATGTCATTTTGAGCTTGCTAAAAATAGATCAAGTTATGTTTTTACAGCAAGTTTTTGTTCATTCACGTTTTATGTAAATTAACAATTATAGTTCTCGAATGTTCCGAGTGCGTGTAAGCAGTACCTATAAAATTGTTTTTTCTCATTATTCTGAACAAACATGGCCCTAGTTGGTCATGCCACACGCGACTGTTGATACCATCTTTACATTAGCGTGAGTTTTCACCGCCAACGCAGCTACAAAATATATCGTTGAAAAGGGGATTATGATATGTCGACAAATACAGATGTTTAGGCAGTGGCATCTTACAGTTAAACACGTGCTGGAAGCAACATGTTTTGTTAACCTTTAAAGTTATCTCCTGAGTTAATCTAATGGTTTTATATTCTTAACAAGCCATTGAGTTTATATCCGCGGTTTTTTTACGGGACAAAAAACTATTAGGTTAGTCACTTGGACTTGGTATTTAGTTCTAAATAGAAAATTCTAGAACCATAGAGATATTAATTGGAAAACTTAATATGTTTACATCTATGCAGTATAATACGTATGTACGGATAACATTACGTATTCTTATTTTATATTGAACGAGATGATAGATGAGACAATTTATCTTGATCAAAAATGTCAGGTATTGGGATCTTATTAATAATTCATCACGTAACAAAAACAAAGTCCTCCAAATTCGCTACTTTAAATATTGGCCTTATGTTAGTTTCATACTAGGGTAGAACAGGGAAGCAGAGCAGTATACACTGCAGTACTGCTATTTAAACACACGATCAAAAATATATTATTATGTTACGACGTTGTGCGTTCAAACTGTAGTACCGCAATGTAAGCTGCTCTGGCTCACTGTTTTGTCCTAGTGGAATACGGTGAGCGTTCATTCCACAAATGGCCTGAAATGGAACATTACGGTTTTACGGCGTAAAGTCAGATTATAGACGCAATCCTGTTAGGTCTTATCTAGGTCTATATCGTCCCAAATACAATGGTATTCATATCATAAAAGATTGGAATTCCAAAAGAATATTTATTGAAGTACATGACAATTTAGAACTAAAGAATTAACGTCGGTTACCACTGGAGACACCGAAAATTATATTATTATCTTTTTGTTTTCGAGTGAATGACAAGTGAAAAACAATTAACAATTTTTTGTAAAGGTAACTACTTTCTAGTGGATGTCCGTATTGACTTATTATAGAAGAAGTCTAGTCTTGAGAATTTTGAGAAATCAAAGTTTTACATTTATTTGGATGTTAATTAAACCTTATATCTCTGTAATAAAGTTCTTCAACTTTCTTTGTTAATTGATATCGCCAATTTCTAAAGGTTGTTGTACTGATTGAAAATACGCAACTTGATAACGTAATTAATTAGTTCAAGACGAAATCTAATTGAAATTATTTTATCGGAATTATATTGATTTTTTTTTCTATCAGGAGCATTGACCAGTCGTCTTAGGTCAATGAACTTTGTGATACTACGCAATTATTGAGTATTTATTAGAATAATTGTCCTTGTTAGTGTTCACAAGTGTATAATGTCCTGCCATAGACAATGTATGGTCGACTGACAGTGATTCAACTGACAATTGGTTAATCTAAACTTGCGTTTCCATTGAACATTTTCAAAATATTACCATCCCTTTCATTCTGTTTCAAGAAACAGAGATGAAATAATCTTATTGGACGGATTTCACAGTGGAAACTGTTAATTTGAATGAAAATACCCGACGGCATTGACCGTGAATATAATGTTAATATTGCTCATTAACATTGAAACGCAAGCAAATGTGAAAATGCATTTAGTAAACAATGTATCGATAATATTACTGTTACTTTTGTTTTGAAGGGTTACTTTCCTGATGATTTTTAATATTATGTGGATATAGTTTCTTACTTACTCCGCTGGCGTATCGACCCAAAGTGGGTCTTGGCCTCCGACACAAGAGATCGCCAAAGTCCCCTGTCTTGCGCCTTCTCCTGCCAGTCCATCGCTTGTCTATATAGTTTCTTGATAGAATAAAATAATTAAATGTACTGATAAAAAAAGGTTTTATTGTAACACGTTACAATAAAAATAATTGTATTTAAAGGTATTTTATTTTTCATATTCTTTACAACTTGGCCATCTAGATATCGATCAACGAATATAAGAAAAGTTTTTTTTTGTTAAAAACCTTCACGATGGTGTAGTTAGATACATACTGACTTTGTAGATAACTTTTTATATTTTTATCGCTCTAAAATAGTGCACGAAATTAATCGTCGCTAACACACAAGCAAAGTGTGAAATCTAATAATAATACTTTTGTAACGATGTTATATAAACAGCTGTCTTTCTCAATGTTAAAGAAATTAATTTAAACTATACATTATTGCAATTATTTCCCATAAGACTCTGTACAGGTATCAATTTGTTGAACCGCAGTAATAAAACGAAATGTTATGAAGACAAGTAAAAGGGTAAAAGACTTTTTGAAATAAATTCAAAATATTAGATAGCAATCTACCGATCAATAAAGTTCAACCTTTTTCCAAAATAATCAGACTTGTGTCAGACGAAAGGAATATTAAAAAGTTCACCGCACCGTTACGTACTTAACATACTTTATTAAATGTGCATCACCCAATTAGTACCGATATGACAAAAGCCGAGTACACACGAGGCGTTTTGACTTTTTCATAACGCGCGTTTTTTCAAAATGCTATGAACCACGATCAGAATCGTTAAATGTCTTCCTTGAATCTGCAGTAAAGGTCTGCCTTAGTGACTAATCAACTTGGATAGTCGTCGCCAGTAATATATCTGTTGACATACGCTCTATACGTATACCAATGTATATCTAGAAGGCCTAAAGGATCTTACGCGTTTTCGAAGCACGCATTGTAACACTTAGTATGTACCCGCTATACTTACTCAGGTTGGGGTGAACAGTCTGACCGCGCGAGCGTAGGGTAACTTGACCGCTCCTGACCCGTCACCGACCATCGCTGCCGCCGCGTCATCACATCAACCGTGTAATCATTTCCGACTATTGATCGAGAGATAACATCAAACCACTGCCCACTCGATATGCTTATAATTTAATGACCATCTAAAATAACGAAGCTATAAAAAGGACGATATTTATAAGTATAATTTGACCAAATCATGGTGCTGAAGTGTTTCCTATTTTTGCAGTTTCTAACCCTATTTCATACAAATTTCTTTTGATTTTTATTTAAATTCTAGTTGATACAAATGTACATTCTTGTAAGATGTTGTGTTGTGTTTTTGCAGAGGGTGGCGGGGCCGGGCGCGAGCGGGGAGCGCGGCGCGCGGGGGTGCAGCGCGCGCGGCAGCTGACCGCCGGCGGCGGCTCATGTGGGCGGCCGGCGCGTGCTGCGCGCGCCCGCCAGGTCAGACGCAGCCCTTACTACATATGATAGCTCGACATTGTAATTACCTAGTGATCTTCATCACATATCCGACGAGGAGTGTTGCATCATCTCGCATCTTTTGTCGGATACTGGGATAATAAGGCATCTGTTAAGATATGTAATTCTTTTCGTCGGATCGTAGGCAATTGATAAATGATATAATATGCACTAATACGTCGCATGAGTCCTGTTGGTGTAAAATGCCTCGCGTGCACTGCGCGCCGCCCTGAGCCCAATGCACTATACAGACACCATAAAGAATAACCTCTGAAAAGATACAAGAAAATACCGTGTTACTTCCCGTCATTCTGATCTCTATCGATAACGACAGATATTCCTAAAACTATTCTTTTTGTAGTCTAAATTAAAAAAAAAACATCTTCAATTATAAACTTAATACAAATAATCTTGCCCGGCCTTGAATTATACCACTGCTGTTTTACTAAATAGGTCACCGTTATTTACAAATGAAGTCAATAGCCTTGATATTTTAAATTAATCTATTAACATACAAACTACATTATAAAAACATTTTAAAATTCAACAATTATTTAAACGATTCTACCATACAATTTTTTTTAGAAAATATTTAACTTGAAATAAACTCTGTACCTCAAACTTATTATAATTTCTTAATTATTGCAATGGCTAGCATACAAGGGTAATATACCAAATTAGTCACTTGCTTCGTTACGTGGCAAATACATTAAAGTGACGTCTACTTTATACTCTTGGTCCTTTGAGCCGGAGCCAGAGGCAGGGATGGGGGGGCGTGGCGTAGGGCATAGGGGGCGGGCGCAGTGCAGGCGGGCACCGAGGGCCCCCAGCTGACGGGGCTGTGTGTTAGCTAGCAGGCACTCATGCGTGACGGGGTGAGTAAACGTGGCGGGGTGGCAGGCGAGGGCGCCGGCGCGGCCGCGCGCGCGCCGGTCAAGACCTTCCAGGCCTACCTGCCGCCGGCGCACCGCACCTACAGCTGCATACACTGCCGCGCGCACCTGGCCAGCCACGACGAGCTCATCTCGAAGGTAAAACCTCACATTTTTACACATCACACATTGTTCTTAGCTTGGAAATTAATGTTGCTTTGACTACTTGATGACTTCAAAATTTAAATGCTTTTCCAAATTGTTCATACAACATACGTACAAACATACTTCTATCAATAGTATAGCACAAGATAGCAAAAATAAAAGAAAATAATTCATAATGGTATAAATATTAACAATACAAATGACTGTATCTGCTGTATCGTAACTTCATTTGTGTTATTTTTGCAGTCGTTCCAGGGCAGCCAGGGGCGCGCGTATCTTTTCAATTCAGTGTGAGTATTACTTATGTATTTTTAACTCGGTACTTTATAATTAAATTGTATTAATCTTACTGTATTTTGAATACGTTTAAAATTAAAATTATTTGAGTTGTAACTTTAAAAAAAGATATTATGTTTAATAATTATAGAAAGCTAAGCTGTTGTGGTTATTGTAAAGTAATGAGACATTAACGGTTTGGAGATTTCTCTGGTGAGAGGCTCGCCGGGTGAAAGTCCTTGTGGGTCATGGTTACATCCGCTTTCGTCGAATCTTTCTATAGAAATTTCCTCCCTGTTATCTTTAGTTTGAGCTTTTATCGAGTAATTGAACTAAAAACATTGTATTAGCCAATTTTCTTTGATAGTGTTTGAATATTTTAATTTTTAAAGAACTTACTCAAAAATACTTTCTTTACCCTTTAAGTACATACAGTTATTTTTTATAGAATCTCGTGACATTGGTTATTTACCATAACCTTTAACATACCATAGTGATGTGTCGTGTTATTTGCTATATCTATTTAATTATTTCCTTTGGAGAAGAAACTATTCATGGTGCAACGTGGCACACGGCGAGCGGCGACATTTGACGGCTGTTGCACAAACTTCGTGTTTGCATTTCACACGTTTATAATAACGTATTGTTGTTAAAAATCATTCGGTTCAAGGCTTGAGACTCGAATATTTCACAATATGACAATTACATGCGTCCTCATTTAAAGCGACAACTTCACATGACGATGAATTGATAAATGCATTTCATTCATTTGATAATCTGAAGAGTCTTATGGCGTGGATATAAAACAAGTCTGGGAGTGATCGATAAAGTAAAAATATATGACGTTTTTCATCAACAACACATATTCCTTGTCTAACTTAAGCAGACTTAGATTTTGTAGTGTTGATTTGTGTTTGTTATATGTTGCATGTTGTTGTTATTGCAGTGTGAACGTGGGGTGCGGTCCGGCGGAGGAGCGCGTGTTGCTGACGGGGCTGCACGCAGTCGCCGACATCTACTGCGAGTGTTGCAAGACCATGCTCGGATGGAAATATGTCAGTATACATACCTATGTATCTTGTATTAATACACTGTTTATCTCGGATGCGATCTTCATGAAGTTTCGTTGTGTTCTTTTAAGCGAGCTGTTGCTACTGACATATTGTGCTTTGAGGAAGCTTAGTTTTTACCCCCTACACTAGTTGTAATCGCTGCACTTGGCCCCTGTCGTTCTCTACATCCAGATATCGTACATGGTACACTGCCAGGTCCTTTAGACCATGGTCTAAACTTTTTATGCTTGCTATATTATTTTGTTTTCTGTTTTCCAGGAGCATGCATTTGAGTCGAGTCAGAAATACAAGGAGGGCAAGTTCATAATAGAACTGGCGCACATGGTGAAGGAGAACGGCTGGGACTAGCCGCCGCGCCGCAGCCCGCCGCCCGCAGCCCGCACCCCGCAGCGCCGCGCGCGCCCTCGTGAACGATATATATTATATTTTTGTCAAAGTAATAAATTCTTATTGGGAGGTCGTTCCCGGGGGCGTGCGGGGGGCGTGCGGGGCGCGCTGAGGGCGTGCGAGGGCGAGCAGGGGGCGTGCGGGGGGCGTGCGGGCGCCGGCCCCGCCCCCCGGCGCGACCTACGCATAAGTAACCGATCTCAGCCGCCGCATTGGGCTTAGCATTGTAACGAGTAATGTTTAGTTGTAACGGAGGGTCGGCGTCGCCGCTCGGGCGGATGTACCTTAAGTTGTATTAGTTGTATGACTCGTCAGCCGCAGCGAGAGAACGCCGGATACTTTCTCTTGTCCCCTTTACCTGTGATAAGTACCTTAGTGTAGAACTTTTTGGATTACTTGAACGATTTTTAGTTTTCAAGAGTCGCTCGGGAACGTCGGACGCGTGTTCCTAAACCTCTCTGCTGTACAATGTCGCTTTCGGTTTTTATTTTACGTTTCGATAAAACTAGTCGTGCGGAGGTGAATTCGTTTTTTTTTTAATTATTTGCGTCGTCAGAATTTGTGATCGCTAGGTTTAGTTACGAGTACTTTACGATAATTCCTTCGTATTTTAATTTTATCTAATAATTATCATTTACTCTCGTAGAATTGTTTAAAGTATATATTCCTTTTCGTGTGAGAGAAGTGTGCCGACAGTGCGGCGATGATTTTATACCGAGGAAGGCAGGAGCGGCGTTTTATTATTCATTTATTGTTTCTATTTTAATGTAATGATAAGTAGTGACATTTAACCTATACTTTACTGTAACCTGCATGCCACTTCATTGTGTATAGAGAGCCTTGTCTATGCGTGGTTCAATAGGAGGAGCTTCGATATGTTACGTCAATACAAATCGAAAGTTTTACACTGTGCGAAACATTCGATTGAGTGGCTCGGAATAATTTGAATGATTTTAATACATAATGTCAAAAATGTATAAAAAAATGATTCAAGTTATTTGTGAGTTACGTGCGACGTTGGAGGCAACGCGGAAGACTTATGTGCTAACACTATTAATATAACAATAACGAGGTATGTATGTAAGTGAGGTATACGCGCCGGCCACGCCGCGGAGATATGCAATTAGTTTGTAATGTGTGCACACGCATGTCAACGGAAACCGCCTGGATATCATTACTAAAAGTCGGCCATTTTGTTATTGCATAGACAAAAGTGACGGACTCGAGATATTATAGCGATGCTCAATCAAAAATGCAATATATCAGATGTTATTGTAAATGATATAATTATTATTACAATAATTATATATTTAAATATAAACATATGTCGGAGTGAGGTTAGTTATGTGACGAGGGAGCGTTATAACTGCCACTAGTTATATACTTTGTAATATATAATATATATATATATAAATTAAACTTCAACATAAGTCACGCTCGTTTCATAGTCTACAAAAAAAAACCAATTATTTTTACATTATAAATGTGAATAGTCTGCTAAATTTAGGCGTTTCAAATATGTTTAGAATAAGACCATGTTGCCATGTTATTATTTTTTCACGTGTAATGTGACCACGATATGATTTTGTGACTCATTTTATAAAGATTTGTTCACTTGCACTTCATTTTTGTGATCGCACCTTTACGACAAAGTACGTTCGGTATGTTTCTTATAAAATGAGTCACAAATCGTACTAATAACACCAATATTTTGTAATAAATGTATGAATGCTCTTCTGAATTTAAACGAATGGCCTAAATGTTAACTGGCAAAGAGACGGAGATATGTCATCTTCATACATATATGGAAGGCATTTTTACCTATTAAGAAAACTCTAAGATAAAAATCAGCTAAAAATATTTGATGTTCAAAGTTCATAATATATCCGTCTTTAAAATGTTATTGGAAATATAAACCACACTTTTCTATTATTATAAAGAAAAGTGCGAGTTGAAATCAAATACATTTTTATCGATTAATTTATAGAAAATTAATTGGCATAAAACACAGAATAATATTAATAAGTCGCTTAAAAACATTGTAATATGCCGATGAAATTAAATTTAATGGTAAAATTGTTTTCAATAGTGTTCAAAACCCTTAATATAGTTCCAAATAGATTTATTATTACGCCAATTAGTTTTCTATTACTAACATCATTAGACCCGAATTAGAATGTTTACCTTTGGTATAGATTTGGTAATAACGTGAACTATAGATAGATTCAAGACTATTGAAACACCCTGTTCAGAACACCTGGAGGTCAAAAGACCTACGATTTGTCAACAAATTAAATAAGGGGTGTTCAAAAAATATATTGGATATCACTGGTTAAGAAGTTTTGTAATAACCAACTGTATAAGTTCACGTAACGGTAGCAAATCAAAGAAACAATGTAAAAGTGAGAAAATTATTGAAGAAAAAATGGTAGGTTTCTGTGAAGCATATTTAAAATATTTTTCTACTCGGTCGTTTAGGAATGGTATTAGATATTTTTGGACCACTGTTAGGGTAAAGCGATCAGTATTGGAGATGATATAAAGTTAGTTTTGGTGAATGTTGGAATATTGTGATTGTTGAGGTCGAGTCTACGAGTTAAATAATGCTTTTCTTAGCTGTAACACTTGCACTGGACATAATTATATTCATAAAATATATCAAGATCCAGAACCTTATGATTACGGTGCGTTTCCACTGATTTAAGACCAGTACAAAAACATATATGGATATGTATCTTAAAGTACTTAGTATTTGTACACCAAATGCCGTATAAATATAATAAAACGATTCACTATTGAATATGAAAATCATTAAAAGCCGTGAAACAAAACGCACGTGTAAACAAACCTTAATAATTCAAATCTTGCATTTTTTTTGTCCAAAACATCAGTGTTTCGCAATTTATGAAACATGTATAAAAACATATATGATTGAAACAAGATGTTTTGTGCATGTTTCGTCAGTGAAAACCGATTGTTTTAATAGTGAATAGTTTAATTATGTTCAGTGCACAAACTACGTGTAAACTTGCATTGTAAGGTATCCGTTAGTTTACCCAAATAAAAAACCGCTTAATATTTTTGTATTTTCCTAGCGTGTGACATGTTGCGGAACATGTTTCGTGTGTTGTAACGGTCGTGTATGCATTATGCTATAGATGAGTATTTCATAAAAACAATAAGTGCGTAATAAAACATTATTTCTTAATAAATATACTTGGTCATTTTATTTATTTCCTACTAACTGTTGCCCGCGACTCTGTCCGTGCTGAATTAAAAAAAAACCTAAATAAGAAGCCTATGTGTTCTTCCAGATTATGATCTACATCTATGACAAACATCTATCCATCCATCCATCCAAACATTCGCATTTATGATAGTAAGAGTAAGATTCTCCTTGTCAAAATTATATTTCTTTTACATTTGGTTTCTGAGACCAAAATATCTGTATAAAACATGTCGTTATCCCTATCATTCTTTGACAAAACATATTTTAAACATGGATTTTGTTGTCAGAAACCCACAGTTAAAGTGATTATAACAAAGTGGGGTGTTGAGTTAAATTAAAAAGAATCATAAATTACTGTTTGTATTTCTTAACTTATCAGTTCAAAGTTCTTAATGTTTTTAAAAACTTAAAACAATCAATCAATATATAAATAATAGAAAATTCAATTAACATAAAACTCTCACAAATCTAAGAAGATTTTTACTAAAATATACAGAAATTTCATAAGAAATATTAAAATCAGTCTGTATTCAGTTAACAATAAATACATATTGACTATCTTAATTAAGTATAAGAGACAAAATATTGTCCAATCTGGATAAGCGAGAAACCATTCCCTCGGACTTTTGTTTATCCAGTTTCTCTGACTATCCAGAGAGGTAACACAAAGTACATTCGCTCCAAGCGATTCCATAACGAATTAACGCGCGACAATCTGTGACTTATACAAAGTTATTCTCAGTTCTATACATTTTTAAAGTTCGTTATGGAATCGCTTCGGAGCGAATGTACTTTATCTAATTCCGCGGAGCGTTTATAAACTAAGAGAAAATACAACAAGAATCCAGCTCACATTACATCTTCAGTGTAACAATAACAATTGCATTGTAATCATTTAAATTATAACATAAAATAATTAAACATATATTTACTAATGTCTTCCAACAATCACATTCGTATTAACATATTTTGGAAACACGTACCCGACTTGTACAGCTGCTGGTGACGTCACTGAGCGCGCGGTGACGTCACTGAGCGCGCGGTGACGTCACTGAGTGCGCGGTGACGTCACTGCGGGCACAGGTGGCGGTGTGACGTCACGCGTCAGTGAGAGGTCGCGCGGCGAGCATCGCCTCCTCACTCTTGAGAACCACTTTGGCGTGTTTCAGCTGCGTCTCCGTCAGCTGCGGTAATGTTTTGAAGAACATCTGAAAATTAATCAAAAATATATCTTAACAATTAGTTATTAATGTGTTATTCCTTTGTATATCCAGCAATGTATCTGAAAACTTTTATATAAATTATAAACAAAATAATAGACATGAGAAACTTTACCTTTCTTGTAATTAAATCCATTCCGTGCACTCTCTTCATATGCTCCTTGAGGACGGACTTTCTGCGAAACCTGAAAATGTATGGTAACACAATGTAGTAATACAATGGGGTAACTTTGAGCTAACCATACATTTCTACTGCTGAGACAAACAAAAATATTGTCACATATTTAAAGGAGGATGAGGTAGAGGAGACTGCGGTTTTACGATGCGCTAACGTTAAGACTGAGAAAGCAGACGGTCTGAGTTGTTTGTGTAAGGTGTCGTCATAGGGACTGGTATATTGTATGATAGGGTGTGGGGGTAAAGAGAGTGGGGGCGTGAGAAATACCACTTGGGGATAGAGGATGGGGGTATGGTAAGTGCCCCTTGGGGTAAAGCGAGTGGGACGAGAATTACCTCTTGGGGGTAGAGTGTGGGGGCGTGCGGGGCGTACCTCTTGGGACAGAGATGGCAGGCGCAGGGCGGCGGCAGACGGCGGTGGCGGGTGTCGGCGTGCAGCTGCAGCGCGAACTTCTGCGCGAACTGCTTGCCGCAGAGCTCGCAGACGAAGCGCTTGCCGGCGCGGTGCGTGTGCAGGTGCGTCACGAGCGCGCTCTTGGCGGTGAACGTGCGCCCGCACTGCGCGCACTCGTACCGCACGCCGCTGTGCTTCTTCGCGTGACGCTGCGCACAACCACAATAAGCTAACACCACAATGGCGCGCGGCTAGAGTTGCGCAGTTAAATACTTCATGGAAATTGACAGTAAATCGGACGATGGAAAAAAATTAGCCCGTCTTCTCCTTACGACATAACGAAACATATTTTTATCACGACTTCTGTCGGTGAAGCCGGGCAGGGCGGGGCGCGTGGGTGTGTCTTACCGAGAGGGCGGAGCGCGAGGTGTACTGTGCGGGGCAGGAGTCGCAGCGGAAGGGGCGCAGGCCGAGGTGCATGAACTCGTGCGCCTGCAGCGTGCTGCGCGACACGAACTCCGCCGAGCACAGATCACACGAATATCTGACAAGTGTCAATTATTACCTTTTAATTTCCTAAGTAAATAAAAACAATTGAATAACTCTTGTTTAAATAATAACGTATTGAAAACAAACAATAAATAAAAACTTGATTACTTGAGTACTTACTTGATACACTTTTGAACACTGTGACACAAGACAAAGCTAGCTGTCGCATGCGGCTCCACCCATACCTTATTCAAAATACCTAATTGGTAGCCTATGTGTTCTTCCAGACAATGTTCTATGTCTATGCCAAATATCTACAAGATCCATGCAGCCATTCTGGACATTTACACATTCATTCATCCATACAAATTTTAATCATCACATTTATAATATTAGTAAAAAGTAAGATAATAATGGTAATTAGTACATACTTGTGCGGGGGTAAGGGTGAGAGTGATGGCGGATGTGGGCGCTTGCCACCGGAGCGGCCGAGGCAGAGTGCGCGCGCCTGCAGCACCACTACAGCATCAGGTGCATTGCAGCGCTTCTCATGCTTGTACAGATTTGTTGTACTGCAACATACATTATTACAATGAATATATTTTGTTAGTAAATCACCATTAAGAGCATTCTTTAGTGTATACTCAGTGGTTCAGTTTAGTTAGTAGTAATTCCAGTAGTAAATATATATCTGAATAGTCACCTGTGAGTTCTCAATGAATTGCATATTTTTTAAAACAATTTTAAAGCTATTGTTATTAATGTTATCTATACCTTCTAAAGTCAGCTCCGCAGGCATAGCAGATGAGATAGCGAGGACCATGCTTCTCTTGATAGTGACGTGCAGCAGCAGGTATGGTCTCTGACAACCGGTGACAGTACAGACATCTAAATCATATAATAATATTATTTACCATCACTATAATGTTATTATAGCTTAAAACTGATTCAATAAACATCTTTCATTGAATTAATGATTTTTTTATTTAGAATAAGACCAAAGGACATGTACTTACTCTAACATAATCCCATTCAACATGTAATAATCCAAAGGTGGGGGAGGCGGTTTGACCATCTTCATTATACCTGATAGAGTTTTAATTAACTTTTTTTTATTAACTAACTCAGGATACTGTTGTCTCAGTTCTTTCACAAAAGATTTCTGCTGCCATGGCTTAATCATTGTATATCTTCTTTTCTTTTTAGGTTCGATATCAGTCACTTCATCAACTGCATCCTCTTCATCATCTTCTGGTACATAGTCGGTATCATCATCAGGGAAATTTTCTGTATGGTCATCATACTCTGGAAAATTATTTGTACTATCCTCATTCTCAGGAATATAGTCCATATTGTCGTCATATTCAGAGTCTACTTCAGTCTTTATGTCATTTTCATTTAAATATTCATCGTCCTGTGGCTCTTCTTTTATGAAAATGTCATTTAACGACACCTCTTCACCGAAAGTGTGAGCGGCTCCTATTAAATTTTCTATATCATATTTACAATCCTCATCGTCGACTTCCGTTTTAATAAAAGAAACAGTATTTTCTACATTTTCGTATTCATTTTCGTCGCCTACTATAACAACTATCATATCATCATCGTTCTCCATGTTTTAAATATCTTCTGGAACTAATTCACTGGAAAAATAATAATAAAACTACATTAATTTAGGCAATAATTATACAAAACTCCCCAATGCCGCGTTTAGCACTATTGCACTCAACTTCCCTAATAATTAAGCAAATAGTAAAATAATAACTAATAACGACGGATGACCTAGTACCTTTAATAAAATGCTATGAAATTCGAGTGAAAATCCCGCGGAAATTTATTTATGTAAAATTTACTCTCTCAACAATGTTTTATCACAACAAGCCAAAGGTAAAAGCCATTCCATCTTGCGAGTTTGCACATCTTCAAATGTCAAACATGTTCTTGAAATATTTTTTAAAATTTTTAGTAAAAGTATTAAATATCTGTTATGACTTTAGATAATTTGCTTACCTTAGTTTAAATCTCGAAATATAGTTTACGTTTACAAAAGACAAAATTGAATAAAATAAAAATTTATGATACTTGTCTTTATTTCTTTATTTCCTTTGCCAATTGCCAAATTTTTCTTTTGTCACAACCAAAGAGTACAAAGAGTATATAAAATAGATAACACAGATAAATAAAAGTATTAAAAATTAAAACAACTAACAGTGCTTGTTCAATGCTACTTAAACCAAAAATTATTATGATCGTATATAGTTTATGTTATGTTACACTGAAATGCACAACCGTAACCAGTAGCCCAGAGTGGTAGGTAGGTTATTACTAAGAATAAATGGGAAAGACTAAGGATCTCTTATTCATTAAAATTCTCCGTGTTATCGGTTCGCGTAAAAATGTGTTATTAAACGTCGTAAAGGTGAAGACGGGAATATCGCCGGACGTAAAAGTGGTGAATTTGAAGCACATGAAAAATATCGAGTTGAGAAATACTTATTTATGTCAGCAGTCATTGATAATGTTGCGATTTGTGAGTTTCATATACTCTTTGGTTGTGACAACCAACCTTGTCATATTGTAGAATACTATCTGAACCAAAGAGTATGTAAATCTGAACCTTGTCATATTGTCACTAGATTGTTTGTGATTGTTGTGGTGTGGCGCCAAGACAAGAAATAATATTTTATTGTGGTACAATGTGGTACAAACAATAATTGTAAAATAATTATATCCATGATTAATAATATAAGAAACAAAAATGACTAAAGAAACTAAACTATTTGAGAATTTTCCTATATTATGTACGAATCCTAAGGTGCTAGCTTTGGAAACTACATTGCTTCAATCATTTGCTAACTTCAAAGGTAAGAAGGTTGTTACAGTACAATACATGGAGATCAAATCCATATATTTATTCAGGAATAAAAACTGACTGTTTAAATATATATCGAAATATGCTTTTATTTTATAGACATACTGTTGGAATATGAAGAAATATTTGCAGAGTTAGAAAGCTACAAAAGTCAAATTTTTATACAGAAAGAAAAATGTGAAAGGTAAATTTTAATTCAATCACCAAAAATCTAGTAAACTTTTTTAGTAGTGTACTTACTATTATTTATTTGCATTCATTTATTACAGCAAATCTTGTAAAAGTTCACAATCTTTAAAACAAATTATAAATGAAAAGAATAAAATGATCCAATCAATTGGTAAGGAATCAAATAAAATCTGCTTGTGATTTGTTCATTATACAAAACTCATAAATAAATAATTAAATTTTACAGCAAATATTTTATTAGAAATAAATGAAACAAAAGACTTAGACACAATAACAGATGCATTAAAAATTATATCATGTGACCTGTCACCGTTGAGTCCACAAAAGTCAACATCGGAAGAACTATCTCCTGTCTTTGAACCAGCAAGTATATATGATAAAATATCAAGTAATTCTGATAAAGAATTCACCTCCACATCTGAAATTGACAGCATTCCTTCAGGCAGAAAAAGTCCCATCATACAAACTAAAAAGTTTCGGAATTCTTCAGATTTAGTTATAGATAATGTTGTACAAGAAAAAAAGAAATGTCCAGAAATATGGTTAGATGTATTTCATTCATATTTCAATTATATATAATCTCATTAGATAGAATTTGTATCCTTTTATATACCAGCATGTAATCAAACCTTGTTAAACAGCATTCAAACTTTTTCGTTTTTTAAACACAGGCCAACTCCAGAGAAAAAGATGTTAAAGCTTGTCTTTGCTACACCGGGAAAGAGCAAATCAAATGTGAAACAGAGACAGGCTCGCTTAAATTTTGTGAAGGAGAAAACAACAACAGTTGTGGATTTAACATGTTCTCCTAAGGAATCTGACTACTCCTCCAACAGTATGTCACAGGTACACATACAAGTCACAATATTCCTTACTGCACTGAAACAACTTGACCAATTTTTATGAAATTTTATATACATATACAGTAGTGAAGCCCCCGATGGGCTCGAAACTAGTCTGTGCCGCCACCGAACGAATGTAAGTGAGTGTTTAGCCGTTTTTATATAAGTTCATATTCAGTAGGTGTGGAAATCGGCTACTATCTATTTTTAAGCCCTTACAAGCAAGTCTTAATATATGTAATTTAAAAATTAATGTTATTTTTGTTGTTGACAGAGTATCAAGAAGGAAGTATTTGAAAATGATGATACAATTCTTCCATCGCCCACTAGCGGACCTATTCATTTCTCTTCAGTGTAAGTTGTCAAGTAAAATATGCTTTTCCTTTGTTTATCAATTTTTTTCTTTAATTGTACACATAAAATTAATTTTCTAAATTGTATTTCAGATATAAATCAATGTGCAAAAGCAGTCCGAGAAAGATGAAAAAAACACTGTCATTAAATAAATTAAAAACCAAGGAAGCTATCTGTGATAATAAAGAAAATAAATCTATTAAAGTTGAAGATATTACTAAAGATGATATGGAAGAAATTAGTATTATAAAAGAAACCAATAAGTGAGTAAAAATCTATCAGTTTGCATTGTCAAAACATTTTTGTTCAAATATATTGCCATCCTTTTCATTCATTGTGCAAAAAAAGAAACAGAGTTTATTATATGAGTTCAAATGTTTTGTGGACAGTTAATAAATAAAATAATTTTGACACCCTTAATAACACAGAGGGTAAGAAAGTACAAAGAAATTTTATCAATATGTCTCTTAGTAGCTGCATCACAATAATTTGAATATATTATTTCATATTTTCACATTTCTTATGTTCAGATCCAGTACTACACCTAAAAAATTCAAAACACCGCTATCTATATTTAATATGAAAACAGAATGCACCACATTTGTTGATGAAAACAATGAGAATTTATCCAAAGAAGTAACTGCAGATAAAGAAATTGAAGAATCTATTAATATTTTAAAACATTACCCAGAAAGGTATGTGTATTTTGAAGTGCAGTTAAGGGACTAACTGCATCACTCAGAATTTATACTCAGAAGTTCTTTAGTGTAGATTTTTAGTAATTAGAGGGTTATTATGGCAATTAAATTTAACATGCCATTTATTTTATCTCCCATTACAACTTGTAATATCTACTTATTGAAATTTATCAAGTTTTTTTTTATATTTTTCTATATTTCCAGATTCACTAAAAGTCCTTTGAAGCCTCAAAGTCCAATATTGAACTTGCAAAATCAAGAAGCAAATGAAAGCATATCTCTATTGCAGAGAATTAACCAGTTCGATAAAAAACAAGATGGCGCACAACCGTGCAGGTAAAATATAAATAAGAACAATGTAATAACATTTTCAATTAGAAGCTAATTCAAGAAAGCAGTAGTTAAGGCGTTATTTTTTTAATTTTTCAGCCCAACCAAAAGACCATCTTCACCGAGTGATATACCAGCCAGTTTGTCACTTCTAAACAATAATTTCACCGCAAAAATATCTAATAACAAAGATATTTTCAAAAGGTAAATAAAAAAATCATGTCTAACTTTTTTGATTAAAATAAAAACTACTGCTATTTAAATATTTTATTTTAGAACGAAACCAGTTCCAGTGGAGCCAATGTTCAAAGAGCCAACTGTGAGGAAAAAAGCTGAGAAACTCGCGTTACCTGGATGGAGTTGTGATGAATGCAAACAGGTAAGTACATTTTTGTATAAAAATTAAATAACAAAATAATATATTAATTACTTATTTTAACATTTTATTTTTAAAGAAAACATGTTTTCTTTAATCGTTACTTTTTATTTGTAGTTCTACGATGAATTATACAAAGATAATCCTGAAATGCTGCGTCAAAAGATGTCGGAATGTTCGCGGCATCGCGGACGTCGCGACCCCGCGCGCCCCCGCACCCCGCCCGGCTACTGGCAGCCGCGCTGGCATGTACCCAACGATACCGACGAGTTCAACCGACTCAACGATGCTATATGACACTCGGCAATTATAGGAGAATCAACAAAGTTACATGAAACTTAACACTATATTGGAGTCAACAAAGTACACATGATGTAAGTACTTAAAAATAATGGTAAAGTGTTTGATTTGTTATGTGTATATATAATTTGTAAATGAAAAAATTAAAGACTGTTCTATTATTTTTGTTTTTTTGTTTCAATTCGTAGTTTTCACCCTCTGCATCTCTGTCTATGTGGATATCAGGACGACTGAGAACTTTTGAGGTGGATTTTATAGAGTACTTGCATAATACAATAGGATTTAATTGTCTAAAACAAAACGCTATTTGACTTCTAGTGTAAGCATCTGTTTATTACATGTCTTGGAGTTTAGTTACTTCATAAAATGACCTCATTCAACTAATTTAAGTAAACTCCAAATATGGTAAAAATAGCAAATGAAATCATAGCATAGGTACTATTATAATTTTTTTTGCTGTTTGTGGGCATATTCTAATAACTTTGAAACATGTAAGACATGACATAATATTTTTAATTACTTTTATAACATACATTCAAATACAACAAGCCTTATTATGTTGTTAGCCTCTAATAATTTTCTATTTTCATTGAACACAATTTCCTTTTAAAGAGGACACAAGGTTATTTAAAAGGTTATTCAGGCAATAGTGACTTGGAATGTTAAATATAACTACAGATCTCCATGTGCCAAAACACATTTATTGCTTATTTGCATTCTCTTTGACAAAATAAATTTGTTCAGTATGGATATTTTAGCAGTTTAAAATACACAGTAAGAATGACATAAATTACAAGCTATCACCCGCGCGGAATTAAAAAAAAAAACTTATTAGTAGCCTATGTCATCTTCCGGGCTATTTTCTAGATATATGCCAAAATTCAATGAGATTCATGCAGCCGTTTTGGAGATACCTTTAAACAAACATCCATCCATCCATTAGCATTTATAATATTAGTAAAATTAAACTCTAAAAATATTATAGACTTACTAAAAACAAGAAAGTTGGTGCTTGGTTTTCTTAAACAATAAAGTATATTTGTGTATAATCCTTTGTATTGAAATTAAATAGACCAATGTATGCTTATAAACTTTGAATAATCATTAAAACATGCAAATTAATGTCATAGGTGGGGTTTCAAAACAAACAACAATATAAGAGAACGGCTTTTATTCTCAATAAAACAGAATGTTATAATTTGTCACTAGCTTAAATAAGAAAAAAAAGAAATTTTGGAAAATTTTATTAGGGATTAGTACTGAATATTGCAGACCTTAGTATTTAAAACTCAACATTAACTGGAAACTAATACAGAATTAAAAATAAGGTTTTAAAGTTTTTTTTACTTTTGACCTCATGTTTTATTAAATGAAATTATTTTTTTATGTATGATTAAATGAAGATGGTTTTGTTGTGAAAATGTTTTTCTTTTGTTTATAAAATTTTTGAAAAAGAAATTCACTTTGATATATATTTTAAAAGCTACAACAATATACCGAGGCCTATGATAGCTTCTTGGCTTTCTGGTACAATGTATCAACAACCTTGCTCATGTGATGAATGGTCTCCAGTACCGTCTCGTACGTCTTCTCCAGGGGAGACTCGTCATAGACTATCAGTACACCCTCCCCTTGGTCCAGGATCCCATTCAGTTTCTTATCCAGGATCATTTGCGACAATTTTTTTTCAACTTGTACTACAGGCAGACGGATTGAACGAGCAACATGTTCAACTTGTACTCTCATGTAAGGCTCAACTATACGACACAAATTCTGTTCTAACATTGTATCATACAAAGCCCCCAAATGTGCACGGACCACTGCATCTTCCTCCAATTCAGGTTTGTAAGTTTTTAAGGCCGCTTGGAAGTCTGCCAGTGATCTTTTGTGTGATGCAGTTGCTACTGCACGCATCGCTTCCATCTCTTTACCTGCATACTTCAAAGCAGCTTTACTTCCACAAATGGTGCCTACTTCCTCAGCCTGGTTGAGCATTATTTTGGACAATAACATATATTTTAGTGCAGTAAGAGCTTTTGGACTATCTGCACCATCATAACCTTCAAATGCTTCATAAAAGTATGAGTAAGCAGTTTTGAAATCTCTTTCATCTGCTGCATGTAATATTCCTGACTGCAAATCTAGGGCTGCCTGCATTTTGGGTGGACAATAGATGGCATTGGCGGTGGTCCTGGCCGATGTTAATGAAGCTCTGGCTTTAGGCAAGTTACTCAGGGCATGATAGGTTTTGCTTTCCAACAACAAAACTTCAACAAGTAAATTTTTGTCATCTAACTTCTTTAATTCTCTGAGCAGAGCAGTGGCCAGGTCCAACGCTTCTGTGTACATACCTGTGTCGTAGTATAAGGCAACGAGGCGGGCTTCCAAAGATTGCCTCAGGAACGTTCTGCGCTCTTCTTTCGCCCATTCTATACATTCTTTGCACAGCTGCACTTCAATGCCGATGCCCGCTTCCAAGTCCAAGAAGAAGTCGACAAGTGAACGTACCAACTTTGCTGCTTTAGCCTTACTTATAAGGCTAAGGAATGGCCGTGTAGCTTTTATTAATTCTGCGAGTTCTTTTGCTTTGCCCTCTTTCTTGTATTTCTCCCCAAGATTCAAGATTCCTTGTTCTTTTGCACGTATGTTTTCTTCGTCATCTTCGGGGACCTCGCCAGTGCTGACCATTTTGTCTGTCATGCGAACGTCTTCGTCTCTGTTTGCTGAGGAGACGCGCGACCTCTCGAATAACATTGCACCGGCCATGATGTATATATTTATCTCTAAAAAATCTGTTATAAAAGGACACTATAATTGCTATACTTTTTCTTTGTAATTTTGTATAATCGCAAAGTCATCGACGACCTTCTCAGAAACAAATCGTAGACGCGTACAAAGTTGCCATGTCAAAACAATAAAACCAGAGACAAACAGACGAGGTAAGGAGTAAAAAGAATAATTTCAGCACTGGAAAAAAAAATTGAGTGTGATATGTATAGTCAAACAAGGATATCTCAATATCTGAACCGGTGATAGAGGCGCTGGCATCGCAGTAGGGTCTTTCAGAATATATGTAAAACGATTTAGAAAATAACGAAAGGTTATTCTTTTTTAGAGGATTTTATGGGGTTTTGACGTTAACAAAGGGGCGCTAGTGAGCTATCATAATTTAATTTGACTTGTGCCCACGAAAGAGTACATATAAATAAAGCCCTTCGTATCGGATAGTCTTATCGGTCTATATAAACTTTTTTGATGTTCTTATAATCATACTGTCAAGTTTACCGTCAATCACATCAAGTGGGTAAAAAAATATAAGATTTGTCTTACGAATATAATGTACGATAAAAAAAATTGTAATTAATCGTGAAAAAAAAGAATTAAGGAGCAAAATGACTACGAAACCAGTTTTGGGTCCAGAGGACAGTGTACAATTTTTATTTGAGATATCCAAGGTCGTAAAACTATTTTATGAAACTCCAGTAATATTTTTCACCAGCAAAGATTACTCTGAGTATGTTTTTAATACGATGTGTGAATTACGACTATGTTTACAAACAGACAATAAAAGTAATTTAATGGACATTATACTCGATTTTCACTTACAATGGCTGCACGCAGTCAATGATATCGAGAATTTTATGAAATTAATAAAAGATCTGACGAAAGATGAAATCTCTCAGGCAATTAGTTTTACTATTGACGCCATGGCACTACGCCTAAAGTACTATGAACAATATATGAATGTTCAGCGACAATCGCTAAAAAATGAAATTCAAGCAAACATTATATCGGACATAGAAATTGTAGAGGAAATGCACGAACATGTCATTCATATTATATTGGAAAAATTAAAATGTTTTCGTGGCTGTGAAATGCAATATGAATTTAATTTAAAATTAAATTTTGCTATAGAAGAATTTCTGTATTGGCTGGACAAAATATATGACAGTCTTGCCATGCTGTTGTGCAACTATATCAATTTTAATGTACCCCATCTTTCTGGGGATTTAACTAAAACTTTACAACAGATAGTTGGAGATATGAAAAATTCAAAATCCTTAAGTGCTCAAAAAATACTAGAAAAAATCGAGAAACAAGACAAAGAGCTGAGTTCCATGATACGTTCGACAACGTGCCACAGTCTTGAGATTTGCAAAGTTCTCGATAAAATAAACGTGATCGAAGATAGAATAGCCAGATTAGAAAATGAACCTCTCTCAGCGGCAGTGATGGCCTTAAAGCATAAGAAAGACTATTTGGAAAAAAGACTTAACTCTCTCGAGAACATGAAAATAACTCTGAAAGATATCGAAGATGCAACAGAAGACCATTTGAAATCTAAGCTGAGTGATGATAAACTGTGTGTATGCGAAGATTTTTATCAATTAAGAATCTTTAATCATCAGCTACCGACAGAGGAACGCGAACGCTTAGTAACAGAATTGTGTTACTTATGGGATTTGGCAGTTTTTGGAGACCGTAGTCATAAATCTATAATTTCGATTCTTAGTGTCGCTGACATGAAAGAGGAATTTACCGACGAACTCGGGACTTTCATTATCGACGAACACAGCAGAAAAATTTATAAATTACCGGATGACGAAACGAGATACCAACCGAATGAAAACAACGAATTAGTGCCTCTTACTGATGATAATGAGCATGTTTACTACTATGATGAGTGTGGGCGGTATTTTATAGATCCAAATACTAGACAACGGGTATATAAAGCATTGGACACCTCCAGTGAATATATGATGAGCAGTGCTGGTGTTCTATTAAAAACAAAAGAGGTGCGCGAAGGTGTAACCTATTACTATGATAATTATGGACGATACTACATTAATAGTGAAGGTAAAAATATATATAAAGATGTTGACGCACAAAGTGAATATGAAAACGATGGATTTGGAAACCTTGTTCGTATTCGTAGCCAAACATGCATATACAATGTTTGCCCTGATGATGAGAATGTAACTGAAGATTTCACATATATTAAGCAAAACGTGGGAAAGGCATTAAGGCAATGTATTGCACAAGTTATATTGCAACAACCTGCCGATCCTGTAGAATTTTTATCGGAGAGCTTAATAAAATACCGAGAAAATATCGAATTAAGAGATAAAAGAGCCAGGGAAAAAGAGGAAATTGCAATAGAAAAAGAAAATATAATGATGGAAGAAAGGGCCAAACAAGAAGCAGCAGCCAGAGCAGCTGCTCAATTTGCTACGGGTGGTAGTGAAGCGAGTTACGACTCTAATTTACAAAATTATACCCCTTTACAACCAGAGGATTTGGTTTCGATGGATACAACTACAAAGTAGGATGGTTTATATTTAATAAATGCTTTTATTTTGTTATATCAACATATACATTTGACTGGAGCTTTATATAATAATACTTTTTATCGTAAAATTGTTTTTTTTTAAAACACACACTTGAGATGTAACTATTCGTGTTTTCTCTGGAATGTTATACAGCTACAATTTGGCAATAATCGTCAAGCATCAAATCAACCAGCTCCCACAGCCAGCACCAACACACCACAAAGCAATGTACCATAAAGTTAAAAATTGAAACAAATCTAACTTTTTTGCGTCTGGCCACATTAAGATTGACAGCTGCTGGCAGCCATGTTGCAAAATGTGAATTTGACCAATTTCATTCACTTTTGTCGCTTGCGATAAGGTTGTGCTTGCAGACCTTAAAATAATTTGTCTCTATTTGTAGTTCTTACAGTACAAAACGGTACATTTACCAAAGTTATATTTATGTAAACGAATATGAGGTGACCAATGTAAAAACAATTTAACTCTCTGCGTACTTATACCATGATTAATCTTTTAGGGCAAGGCTCTTGTGTGTTTATGTAAATTAGCATGGATAAGTGTAAAGTGACGTATCGACCATCTATTGACTACAACGTGCGGGGCTCCAGACGTGCAGACGGCCACTAGCGGCGCAAGGGAACAGTGTTAAACCGCTCTCGTTTGCGGCTGATGGAACATTGTTAAAAAAATAATAAACATGGCTCCTAAGCCTCCTCCGTTGGGGCCTCCGCCGCCGCCCGGGCCACCACCTCCTCCTATGTTTGGAGGAGCTGCGAAAGGCGGAGCCCCGGATAACAGAGGTGCTTTACTCAGTTCTATAAGGCAAGGGACAAAATTGAAGAAAACAGTGACTGTTGATAAAAGTGGACCTTACATACCGGGCAAAACACAAAGTTCGTCTAGCAGTTCGTCTTCATCTGTTAATAATGAAGTGAAAAGTGGTGCACCAATGCCCAATGGCGGGGGAACCATTGGGCCAGGTCTTGGTGGTCTCTTTGCCGGGGGAATGCCAAAGCTCAGGCCCACAGGAAAGTTGTCAGGTATATAATATATTTTTAGCTAGTTTCCTGATGCATATAATGCAAACTTTGAAATTCTATAAATGAAATATTCAATCTGTTATTGATTTATGGCTTAGCTAATATTTTTAGTTTCCTCAAAACATAAAGTAGATTTTTTTTTGCTTTAACAATTTGTAAAGCAAATAGATTCACTTTGTAGCTAACTTATATTTTATTTTTAGTAACTCAAAATCATTTAATTCTTGTTATTTATCATTAAATTACATAATAATTTGATAACAATTACAACAGTAATAATTAAAAGATAGTAAATGGCATAAATTCTCAGAATTAAAAAAAGACATGGCCTTTAATAAAAATCTGTTCAGTAAAATGACTTAATTTTCCTTGGTTCCTTGATCTCTCGCTTATCCAGTTTCAACTGTATTTAATCAATTTTTAAATTATTTATAATAACATAAAAAAAATCTAGTTTATAAAACTTATACATATGTTAATAATTGTGTTTATCACTGACATTGGCAAGTATGACTCAGTCAGGTAAAATTACTCAACATAATTAATTAACATCATTATTACATATAACTTAGCTATTAACTTCATTAAAAATGATTGTCTTTATGATTCTATTTTAAAAACAAACAAATTGTTCTTGTAAAGGTTCAATTTTGATAATGGAAATTCATTGTAAAACTAATTTGATTCCATTTTTGATATTAATTTTTTTACGTAAACTTCACATAATAATTTCCTTTATAATTATGTGCTTACTCTACCTAGATAAGGTTAAAAAGATGTCAACAATTGTACACCATTGATAGAAAGATATTATTAACAATGCTGCAATCTATTGTTTAACAACAAAGTTGCTGTTTTGTTTTGTTATTTGTATATGAATTTAATAAACAATCAAGTGTTTTCACCTGTAACTTGGAGCCTCAAGCAATGGAAACAAGCAATTACTTAAACTTCGCTTTTATGACTTGATTTTGTGAATTCTACTATTGTTAAAGTTCTTTTTAGTATGATATTGTTTTTTCTTTAACAGGTTCAACTCTCAATGGGCAAGTTAAATCAGATGCACCTCGATCACCTTTACAAATACCACAGAAGCAACATTCGCAAGGATCGTCACCGGAGAAGACGAGACCTGGCCAACCGTCTCCCTTGCCGGGAAACAAGTTGAGCGCCATCTCAGCGGCGCTGAACGAGGTGATGGCTGCCAGAGAGGCGCAGGAGTCCCCCAGGGAATATACGAGAGACAACCCTAGAGTGAGGCGACAGCCCAGCGAGGTGAAGACCAGGGGCCCGCCGCCGCAGCCGCCGGTACAGAAGCCCGCAATGCCACTGGTGAGTATCACACACTATGTTATGGATGACACACCTTGGGAAACGTCACAATTCTTTACTTTGTGGTCGATTGCCAGTATTTCGTGTACAGCTTTTAAATATTAATAGGAAACATCAAGAATATTACGAATATATTTTTTCCCTTCTAGTCGTTGAATAATTCTGTAGACTAATAGCATTTTTCTAATTATTCATGCACATCAAAAAATCATAACATGAGATGGTCATTACGGTCTTTAAAATATGTTAACATTCGTTCGCATATAGTCGAAAGTATCAACGACCTTCAAACAATGTTTGGGCAATTAGTTAATCGGATCTGTCGGCTCACATCAAACGCTTACAAAGTCAAACAGGTGTGGCGCTCCTATTCTACTGTGATTAATTAGAACACGCCCTCACTAAATAAAAGCTACTGTTCGATTTTTATACGATCAAACATTTTTCATTATTTTACCAATAATATGATAACTATTCATATCCCATACTTTCTACCACAGGAGTTTCCAAATAACTTCTATATAGTGTCTGGTATCTTTAGAAATTGACATTTTCACATAAGTATGTAAAAGACTAGAACGTAGTCCATTATTAGCCCAACAAATATCAAAAGCTTTTTGACACCCTATAAGATTCTAAATTCAATGTCTTTTTACATCACATTACAAACTAGTTTTAGTTTGAAATGTTATGAGTTATTTTACTGCCTCAATATTAAATATTGTGAAAATTACGTAAGATATTAACGAAAAGAAAGTAAGTACTTGTAAAGAGAAAGAGGGACAGATACGACGTGTGTTTTAAAGAAAAAGTTGTCGCGGCCGTATACAAAGTGAAGCATGCCACTCCGCTGAAGATGTGACCATACTTGTGTTCGCTGCATTCTTAACGTGCAAAGAGGTTTTATTCTATTTGTGAGTCGTTGCGTTGGTTTAGGTCGTGTTCAGTTGTTCAACTACGCCTATGAATTTAAAATTAGACTTTTCACACATTGCAAAAGGTAAATAAAACAATATGAGGATCTTTTATCCTAAGTTAATTTTCGATGGATTTTGCTACATAGCATTGGCAAGATAAACTCGAACAAAGACGCGGTAAAGCTAGTACGTTTATAAACGATTTGAGCTCCCCCACGCATTGCTCCAATATCCTCACGTTGAACATGTGAGGTTCATAAATATCGCTCTGGTGGGAGGTACGATATTTAATTTAGGTGCTAACTTCCCACCTCCTAAGTGGCAGGTTTTTCGTAACACGAAATTCCTTCACGTATCTACGTGTCGAAAACAAACAGTCGATTATGTGACTTGTATTTAGGTTAAGACTAACCACCAATATTAATAACTATCTAATCTTACTTCTAACTAATATTATAAATGCGAAAGTTTCGATGGATGGATGTTTGTTTGAAGGTATCTCAAGAACGGCTGAACGAATTTGGATGAAATTTGGTATACACATATAGTACATTGTTTGGGAGGACACATAAGCTACTAATTGTGTTTTTCTCGTAATGCCGTGCGGAGGGTGTCGCGGGCGACAGCTAGTTTTATATAAATAGTATTAGTTACGGATTACGTAGGTCCGAATATGCCATTGTACAATTGATACAAACGGCTTAGTTGAAATAATAAAATTGTGTTAGTTAATTATATACATAATTAATAACTCTTTAGCATTAAAAATAATCAAGGCCACTACAAGTACTCATTACCACGATTAAAAAATAAATCGTTACGGAAACTTTGCCTCGAACCATAGACTTCGTGATTCATTAGACATGCCATTATCATAACACCATAAAATAGTCTTAATATGTTCTATAATTAATTAGCTAATATTAATAACTTCTTCGTAAGTTGTAGTATAACATTACATACATTTATTTCCTTTATCTATGTTATCAATTGATTAAATAGTCGTCTTTACTGATACTATGAAGTATTCACTTAATTATGTGAAAAGGAAGTACTGATTGTTTATTTTAACAATGTGTTTCCACTGCCGATACATCTGTTCAAAACATTGTCTACATTCAAATAAAAGAGTTAACAATATATTTCTATACAAATGTTTCGAGAGTGGAAATTGTTACGACTATTTTGAAAATATCATCTGATATTGTTGTTAATAGTCAGATCTCATCTCAAAATATAACAACTTCATTGCAAAAATATGCCTCTCGTCTAGTTTCTTGACCTATTTCTAGTTGAGCTATATTAGTAACAAGTCTAGGAATTCTAGGTTATACGTCAATATATTGACGTGGGTTTCTAAGACCAAAATCTCCGTTGAAAACGGTGAAATATAACGGCAGGGATGACAATATATTTTATAGAGAGTTTTTGAGCTCAGAACCCAACGGTAAATTATAGAACAAAAAATGTATAAATATTACTCTGATACTTATTAGATATGACGATAGTGTCTATCCACTCTTTTTCCAAGTGCCTCCTCTTTGTATAAATGCAGTGTTTCATTATGTTAATATATAACAAAATCTTTATACTTTATTCGTAGTATAAAATATTCAAATAAAGCGAAGAAACGCGCAGCACGTTTGCACTTGAGGCGACAACCCACTGCTTGAGTACACTCGGTCTATGAACACGTGTGTAAGCCTATCTTAACCCACACTATCACACTATCTACATATCAAGAACATTTACATGTACATGAAAATTACTCACTTGAATTTTAATTACGGATTAAGTGGTTATATTTTGAGAAGGGTAAGATACGCTGATTTCAGCATTTTTCATAATTTGCTAAAGTATACTTGGATATTAATCGTTTATTCATTATGGATGTAGACAATCCTAGGGGCACAAGTCTTTTAAAAAAGTCAACCCCTGCCCTCGACTAAAATCATAGTTATGGATACACTTCTGGTCTGGTCCTATCGAGTCGGATAAAACTCATAATTTCTAGTTCTGGGTTATGATAAACTATTCATGATACGATCTAAACTAATAATTAATATCCTAACTTAATAAACAAGTAACAGTTTACTTAATTAAGAATTGCTATTTGTTAAGAATCTATAAAGTTGGTGGGTAAGATATTTGTCATATGTTGGTTTCAGTTTAAAGTATGAATGATATTCGTGAAGGTAAATCGCAATGTTATCTTGATTAGCTAAATCGGACGTGAGATATTGATAAGACGTATGAAGAAACATTCTTCAGAACAAAACTACGTTTATCTCAGAAAGTCCAAGTATTTAACCTTGTAAATGTTAACTCTCCAAGTTTTTGTTTTTATTTTATATTCGCTTGTTTATTGTATTTTAACCGTTATGAGACATGTAAGTAATTTTCATTTATCTTACTTCTCACTAATATTATAAATTTGAATGTTTGGATGGATGGATGTTTGTTTAAAGGTGTCTCGAGTATGGCTGTATCGATCTTGCTGAAATTCGGTATAGATGTAGAACATAGTCTGAGCGAAAACATCAGCTACTAATTAAGATTTTTTTAACATCGCACGGATGGATTCGCTGGCGATAGCTATATATTTTATTAAATATGTGAGATCAGCAAAAACCTTATTCCCTCCAAAATCATTTTATATTTTGCCGCGAAATGACATTTGCTGCGAATCCTTACTCGTCTACAATAGAAACCTAGAGCAAGCTTCTTAACGTATACTGGCTACGTATGTTATTAAAAATATCAAAAAGGGAAACTCAAACTAGCTGAGATAAATGCCAGCCTTCAAGTTGTAATAACGAGGTTTCGATTTCTTAAACAATTATAATTCCATTTAAATCAAGTTGTTTTTTTGTTGTTACTAGTTCATTTGATTGACGAGAAACAAGTTTAAGCGAATCAAAACAAAACTTCCACATGTAAAGTTTTACAATATTCAAAGTGAGTTTCGACTCGGGGTTAGCTCCGAAAGAATGTTCGCCCAAATTAGTGTTATTGCGTTATTTGCAGGTGAAAGACAGCATGTTTATTGATTGATTTTGACTCGGAAATGATATTAGTACATTGGTTTTGTCTAATTAGATTTACATAAATATTTATGTTGTCTAGACTAGACAGATAATGCCTACTTAAATTTCACTGTCCCTATATTAGCGTTGCCAGATTCGATGACAGTTTGTCACTTGTAAGGGTTCGTATGCACTTGGCGTGTTCACAGATTTACATTTAAAAACTTGACAGATGTTCTTTATAAATAGTGTATAAGCTCTCTTATCGATAAATCCGTTGTTTTAATATTTACAATAAAACCTCGTTTATTTGATTGATCGTTAATTTTTATTTTACGTGGGGTTTTGGTCCATGCTTGATGACGGAAATTGGGTCTTATAGTTAAACGAATTGTGTTTAATACTATGATGATAAACTACAATAACGTGTTCATGTAATGCTATTTAGATATAACTTGTTTAATTGTTGAGACTTGAGATAGATCTAGACATTGTAGATAGGTGTGTTTTTTTACTTTGTAATACGGAACTTATTGTGAGTCATGTAATAGTGAAGTGAGTCATCAGTGTGTATAAACAATCAGTTGTTAGTAACAATTTGCGGTTGAGAAAATGTTACTACGATGTATTACTCATTCTGCGAATGTCAGGAATCCTAATTAGTGGAATAGGTCGCAATGTCTGTAGAAGTCTGTTTATACTATAAGTTAATGAAGCAGTTATCATTAAACAGGCAAGATAGATATAGACTTTGATCTGGAAATTAAATGGAAGACATATTTATGTGTAGACAAACACAATAAGTATACATTTGATTTACAGACATCTCATCGATATGTTTATAAAAAAAAATATAATACTTTGTCTCAACAACTCAAAGAATTCTGTAACCAAACATTTGAGTTATTTCCAACAAAATTTCATTGGTACTAGTGAAATATCCTTTCATAAAACATCGATAGTCTACGACAAGCCCTTTCCATGCCATGTATTGTCAGTTGCAGCATTGTGCGGCTTCCGTCGGCCCATTGTGAGCTTTCTATCCACTATCCAACCACTGGAATATTTGTCGAGCGAATGATACTAGCAGTATGAATGCATTTGTACTTTTTATTTGCTATTTCTGTTCCATTTAAGAGCTTATAGGACGCTTATAAGATACTGGCTGATATCAAATGATGCAATGACAAAGGTACAATTTCGATGCGAGCAAAATGATGAAAAATATCTTTATTGTTTTGTTTTTTAAGCAGAAATCTCTGGATAGATTAGATTTTAAATTGATTATTAATTCTAGTTCTTTACCTAACTTTAAACGTTGTTGCAAAGTATCAAAATTACTCCGTCATTTGCTATTTTTTAAGTATACAGATTTGTATGTTGGATTTATATCTTTTTAATATGAATACATAAAAGTATTCATTAATTTGGAAAACAACATGAGATAAGGCTGTAAAAGACAAAACAAACGGTTTATCAGATAAATACAGATATGAAAGTTTATCTTGCACTACTTATTAAAATCTATGCTTGTTGTAGTCTGAGGCACAATTAATTTATACGACTTCATTAAACATTAAGCACGATGAGAGAACATGACTTCTAATAATTTTAACAAAAGTAACTTTCCATAAAGCTTTATTTTGTTCATTATAAGAACTGTTGTTTTGTTATCTGTAAATAAGGTCTCTTGTTTGACTCTAACAAAGCAAACATGAATAAGTTTGTTTACCGTAGTGAGCTTGATTAGTTTGCGACAATTTTGAAAACCCGTAGGTCTAAATTATCAAATCATTATCATTAAGGAAGGATATAACTAATGTATAATTTGTGAGTCACTTTTATGCGAAGTTGCGCGCCTGCGGTTGCCCTTTGAGGTTCCGATTCAGGCTTTGCCAACATTGTTATTTAGTCATCACTTCATGACTCAGATATCATCTGAATCACTATATTACATATCCCTTAACGTATACACAAAATCTTATTATCGATATTGTATTCATTTAGACAAATAAAAAGACATTCTTTTAAGTGTGTTGTATGTCGATAATTTTTTTGTCGACATACAAGTTTTGATGAACGAAAAGATTTAAGATACTAAATTTTTTAAATTAATTATAACCCACGCATAAAAACACATCAAAAACCTTATTTTCTCTAATATAGCAAGTTTGGTTTAGCTTAGAAATAAATATGATTCACCAAAATCTCGAGCAACGTAAAATTTAACGAAGCTCGACACTTTCGTAAGAACAAGATAACGATTGTAACATCGATATGGTTATGTCAAGAAATCATTTTTTTAAATAGCTATAAGTTTGTCGGTCAGACGTCTCCATAGATTATTAAACTATTCTATTACAGTTAACTATTTTAATAATATCATAAAATGTTATGATACATAGTACAGTAACTGTATAATGAGATGCAAGGCACAAGAAATGCTTGTTTTTCTTTGAGATTCCAAGAGGAAATTATCCTATATACTATCTCATTTGAACTTGCATTAGCTCGTCCGCTTGCGCCTGATTTATTACTAATAGCATTCAACATTATGTTGAACTTGTTCTTTGCCCGTAATCTAACGACCACCACTACTGCCAAGTTTACTGTTGGTAAAAGCTGTACTGTTGATACAAAAACCATTGAACACATTATGATGAAACTTTTGTACAATGTTCTAAGGATGACAGAGAAGGTTTTAAAAATGTCTACTTTACTAAGTTACTTTTACAATCAAGGAGATGTATCTAAATAAGTTAGTCGTAATTAGTAGGTTTTAAGCTTCTGTATAGATTAAAAAAGACCAAGTATACGTGGAGTAAAAAAGTAAATTGAAACAATTTATAACTACATCCTTGTTTACAGTTTTTTTTTTGTTTTTATTAAGCCCTCTTGGATACTTTGATGCATTTGTGATTAGTGGCCGATTGGATTAAACGCTTAGGGTTGTGATTATGTTGGTTAATGCATAGTTTGCGTTTCAATAGATCGCACTAAGCTGTATTAAATGTTGTCAATGCTATTGTGACTACTTTGTTACAAGAGTTAGTTATTGTTAAAATCAGATTATCTTATTATGGTGTTCGGGGTCGAAATAATGTAGGGTAATTGATAATTATGACCTTAGTAAAGCTAATTTTCTACTCGGACACGATACATTGCATCATACCAAATTCAATGCTACTAATTTTTGGTAATTTAATTTAGAAGAAACGTGATCTATATAGAGTAATGGTATAAACATCCTGGATATTTTGAATTAAATATGTTCGTTACCTTAATAACTAGGATATATATTCATCGCGGGGAAATGTTGCCGTGTGTTGAACATGTGAATATGACAATATGTTATCGCGAACCAGTGATGACTCCACGTAATCGAGAAGGTCAATATTTTGAGCGGAAGAGGGGCCGCCGGTGCGGTAGTGAGTACCTAATACATGACTGATGCGTCATCTGTCATATTTAGGTCACTGCCCGACGACATTATTATACATGTACTATACAAAAAATGAGAGTTGATTTTTGAGGACAGATGTTGCATGATTTTCACCATATTTGTATTTGATTATGAATGATTTTTATTGTTGCAGAGTTCATCAGACTCGGTATTGACGACAGGGGTGGATGGCGGAGACGGTGGTGCGCCTCCCCCGCTCACCTCCACGCTGCACCGCAACAAGAGCTCGTTGCATGCAACCTCGCAAGCCTCGCTGGGTAAGTACATAGAAACAAAGCGGCAAGTTATACGACGAGTAGCAATATATTGCCAGTCTTTGCATGGAAAGAAAAACAAAAGAGTAGGATGGATGGATAGTAAGAGCGTATACGTATGTTTGCAGGTGGCAGTATGACTTCGCTAACGTCATCGCCGGCGCCGGGTCCGCCCGCCGCCTCCCTGTCGACGTCGGACCTGTCGGAGCGCGCGCGGCCCAGCCACGGCAAGCCGCACGTGGCGCCCAAGCCGCCCGCACCCTCGCCGCCGCCCAAGAAGCTCGTCACCAACGGCAAGCTGGCTGCGCGCGCGCAGAGCATGCGGGTACCCAGGTACGTCGTCCAACAGACAACGAGAGAGTGTGCTGGATAATAGGCGACAACAGTAATTTACTGAACATATTGCTTATCACTTAGATTTTTTCAGTGTCTTTAAAAACAATGTACTATTCAATTTCATGAAATATTAAAGTAACGCATCTGAAACATAACATACAATAATAGACTAAACATAGCTTCAGTTAGAAATGTTCTATACCGGGCCAAGTCGACCCTCGCGGAGTTTGCAGCGCGTGGGTGTTAGTTAAAACAGTTCCGCACCACGCGGAGATCGTAATTAACTCAACTTGTAAACAATTGCACTTTGTTTATTCTTTGAATCCTGTGGGAGATGTTACGGTATTTTGGTCATGACTTGGGAGTGACCATGTTTCTATTCACGAAAGTGATACAAATACATTTAGGGAATTATATTGGTTTGTTTGTTAAAACGATATGAACCGTCTGGTTTATTTACATAGCTAATTTCTACGCAATTTTAATAACTTTTCCTGTACAATCTTTTGGTTAATATTCGTGTTTGTCCATTGATCCATGCAAAAAATGTATTTCGTATACATTCGTAGAGGCTTTGTAAATAGGAGAGACTCAATGTAATCTGTAATAAAACATAACTGGCATTGCATGATTTTACTGTTTGCATCCATATTTGTCGACCGCCCACATTGCAACATCCGCCATTGAAACTAATATTCGGTCACTTATTGATTTATAACAATAAAATATTCAATACATATACATAACCTTGATGTGGAGGAATTTTATGCAAATTATATCATATTATTATGGGCAAAAGGTCACACATGTGATTATATTTTTATAGGATAGGTAGCGTGAGTGTTTTTTTGTAGTGTGTTAAAAACATACTACATTGAAAATGGTAGTGATAGTTTACCTATGGCAGTGAATGCAAATATGAATGTAACTTAATAGAGTTGCATATGATATAAAGAATGTTATTGTGACAGGTCCCCGCCGGTGTCGCCACCGTCACCTCCTGGCCTGACGCGCCCCCCACAGC